AGAAGGTCTGAAGTTTAGAGTTTATATAATCCAATGAGCTGTACTTTATTATGGAATTCTGAATTCAGAAGGCTGATGACCATCTCGATTTCCCCGCTAGAATTGTGTTTCTTATATCTGAACTGGTAAGAAGGCATCGTTAGCATTAAAGTCGGTGCATTTGCCTATTAGAGCTCATATACAATAGCAATTGTTCAATAAATGTGTTGTGACCTGATATGTAAAAAGTAGAATCTCAGGTTTCAGAAAACACTGCAGAAATTCTGAAAAGTTTTCCAAAAGAAGAATTAAAAACAGATTTTTGTGTGTGTTTGTGTCTGTGTGTGTTAGTTACTGGGGATTAGAACAGTAGCAGTAAAAGCTAATGATAAGATTTACAAGAAGTTCATAGTAAAGGGGTTGGCACATAATAATATTAATGTATAAATACATTTATTAGCATTGAGGAAAAAATGTTGAGCCTTTGTTATATGTCAGACACTGTGCTAGGTGCTAATATGCCAATAATAATATATCAAAAGATTTACAAAAATTGAAAGGAGAAAGAAATACATAAAAACAACTGCATACAGATTGTAAGGGTAGTGTTAGACCACGATGCAAGAAAAGACCACTGACTCCAATTAAAATCAAATTAAAGCAAGTTTATTATTTCGACCAGCCAGGCTGCCTTGCCCATCAAAATCGTGGGAGCCAAGGACAGCGGCGAGGCTTCTTTGTGGCCCAGTTTTATAGCCCAAAAAGTTACACAAAGGGGGGTTACAGATAACAACACTCTGAGGAGCATAACACAAGTTTACGTTTTTGCTGGCCCCAGCATCAGAATTTATGGAGATCTTAGAGACTCTAGAGGGTTGTTATCTGGCCAGGGAAGGCCAGGATTTATGAGGTGTCACTAAGGTTTAGGAAAGGGTTGTTATCTGGTCAGGGAAAACCGGACATGGGTGAGTTCAGGGCACGGGCAGGCATTCCAATCAGCCTTGCAACATCAACTAATGGCCAGGCCATACAGACATCCTGATATTTTTACAGAAAACAGAAATGAATCCTCCATAACTTGTGACAAGCTGGCTTCTGATCAATGAGATAACTAGGCTAGTATATCAGGTAGTGCTTTGGGAACACAGAAGAGAGAATTATCAATTCTGACTCAGTGTGTTAGGAAATGTGCCACTGAGAATATCTCAATTTAGAATTTGTGCATGAGTAGCATGAGTTAGAAAAGCAAAGGATAGCTCATTGATTGGCACATACGTGTTTCTTCTTAGGAGGGACTCGCATTTCCTGAAATCTTTCTTTCTAAATGCTTTATGGAGAGAGCTGGGCTGCTATTACATGAGTTTCTAAAATAGCCAACTCTCAAGGACTCTTGCTAATTTCAGAGATTCTGAGCATCGCTATTCCTAGGCAGAAGTTCTACTTGGAATTTTATTTTGTTATTATCCTTGTTGGATTAGGCTCCATCCAGTTCAGGAGAGAAACTGCTCCAATTAAAGAACTTTTGCCAAGAAGTTGGGTAGAATGAAGAGCTTAGGAAACACAAAGATGTGCTAAACAAGAAGTGCAGACCTGTCCTACACACCTCTTACAGCCTGCAGGAAGCACAGAAGTTAGAAGATCAAGAATTCAGCTTTACTTCCATGACTCCACCAATAATTCCCTCCCCTCTCTGAGCCTTGGCTCCCTTATGTTGTGTGAGCTGCTCGGAGGCATTCCCAATTSCTCCCCACAGTGGGAAGAGCAAGGATTCCACACCCACTTTCTCTTCAAAGTTAAGTCAGCCTGGAGAGAAAATGATGAAAATGGAGACCTGGAAGGACTGAGTAGGTGAAAGTCAAGAAAAGTTTGAGCCTTGTCATTCACTCAGAGAAGTGAGGAGAACAGGTAAGGAGGCAGATAAAGAGAAGCAGTGTTTGTAGGGGGGAGTTTCAGCGGGGCGTCCTGGTGAGAAGAGGGGTGGTGGAATCTAAAATCTGACATAAGTTTCAGAAATAAATTATTAGTTCCTGACTCCATCTACTATACAACACATTCCCTTGGAGGTTAGGGAGACCCAAGGTCTCCTGAATTGGTCAGAATCAGATAGCACAGTGGGAGTCCAACTTCACAAAGGCAACATTTGATCAGGAAAGGAGACTCCTCCTTAACCAGGCAAAGTGTGCATTCCATGCCTGTGTGCTCTGGAAATCTTTAGTTTCTGTCCCATCCCAGGGTTGACAGAGGACTTAGACCCACTTGGCTACACAGGGGTGTCTGACCAGCAGAGTTCTGCAACAGTGCTGTGGTCAAAAACCAGTAAGACACACTATTCAGGTGATATCTTAGCATTCAAATCAGAAACTGAAGTAAATGTGCTGCTGACAATTTAAATTTAGAGAGGACCAGATCACCAGCTCAAGTCTTGAACTCAAAATAAATATTTTCCCCAGAGAAGGTTTACACACTCCTTCTGCTGTGGTGCAGCAAGCAGGGGTAAATGAGTTTGTTATCAGATAGGAGAACTATGTGAAAGATGAGAGGCAACATCCTGACTCTTGTTAAGTTTTTCTCTGAATTTCAAGTTATAGCTAATACAATATTCATGTACCAAAATTTCCAAAATTCATGGCTGAAAAATTGAATCTTGTGAAATAATGGAAAAATTAAGATTTTTATTATGTACAGAGTGTTCTGGGCATGACCAGTGTTTTCTTGTTGCCTAAAGTTAATAGGATGAATAATGAGATTCAAACCAATGCTGATTGTTTGTTGATTCAGCTGATGATATACTTTGTCACAGTGTATTATAGAGTTCATTTTAACTTATTGTGAACAAAGAGAAAAGAAACATGGCAGAGCATCAACCCCATGCCAAAGAGAGATCATGTGTTAACTACATCATGCAAGAATTTGCTTCAGAACAGCAGAGTTCAATTCAAATAGCAACACAGTATGGAAAATGACTCAGTGTATGAATGCAATAATGATGCTATTTATTCCATTATTTAGTGTTTCCTTTTTACTAGGTAATTGCCTACTAATTTTAATAATTGTATTATAAAACTTATAGTGTTTAAATGCCTGTAATGGTATACAACCTATTCCAGTGATAAGCCTAACTCCAGGTTTATGGACATTTAAATTTGCTGTTGTTAATTCCGGAGTTTAAATCCCTTTGTTTTACCCTAATGAACTAAGTAAGCAGTAAGAATAGTGTCAACAGTTAACATTTACTGGGTGCCAGCTGTGTGATGAATGTTGTGCTAAGGACTTTTTATATACTATATTAATTAAAGTTTTTTACTTCTGAGTCATATTCTTTATGTCAGTTTTATGATGTGGCACAGTACTTAGAAGATTATATAATATTCATAGTACCAGTGGGTACATTTTGGTGGTAGAGAAAACCTAAGCATGTTTCCCCCTCATCATCTAACACAAAGTCCTTCAGACAACTCAGCATTCAGGGAAATCATGGAATTCCTGCAATTCTTTTATTCTTTTTGTTGCTCCATAAATAGCCCTTAAATAGAGATTTCACTGAGATAAGTTACAGATCATGTGAAGAATGGAATCAGGAAAAACTCAAAAGAGTATTTTTCAAAGCAGTAGAGATTTTTTTCTATTTACAAAGAAGTTACATCCCTGCATCTAAATCCTTAAGCCCATTTGGCATATTGTATTTGTTCATAAGTGCAAGGAAGCACTGTACAGGTGAGGGCTTGAGGGCTAAATCCTACAGCTGAAAATTTGTGGTGGATGCAGTTTGGATCTAGCATATAGCTCTGCATGTGTTCTATGAGTGACTGTTAATTCAGTGGCTATTCTACAAGTGACACATTCATTTTTATAAATTTGTCCTACTCTGTAGGACATATGCAATTTTGTATTTCATCAATTTTGAAGTTGTGTCTAAAAGTATTTGCCTCACCCAAAGTTTTGCCTGCTCTCTCTCACACTGTTTTTGATTTTTTTTTTAGAGATTTTAGCTTTCAATGTGACATTTAGGTTTATTATCCACTTTAAAGTTAATTTTTGTAGAAGTTATGAGATTGAGTTTGAGCTGCATTATGTTTGTGTTGTTTTCCTCTATTTTTTGTATATCCATTTTTTTCCATAATGATTTGCTTCAAAGACCTTTTTGAATTTTAAGTATAATCTCATGTTTTATCTATTTTACACAAATATGTTAATCTATTTAAATCTTCATCACCCTAAAATCATTCTTAATTATGTTTCTGCTCTGTTCATTCTGTCATCTTTCCTAACCTTGCATTCCTATCCTTGTGTCCCACTCACTGTCTCAGTTTCTTGCTTTCACATTGATTTAGTTTCCCCAGTTTTCAATTAATTAACTTATTTGCTGAAGGATAGAATATGAGTGTATAATCAAGTCTAAAGGATCACACCACTTGATACCAGAGAGAGCTATTTTCTAAGCTCATTCAGATCACAAATATCTTTAAGTAGTATCTCAGCCATCAATCTTTCATTTCTGAAACATTATACTTAGTTGTAAGTTAATGTATGTGTTTGCAAATAAAATATTTGATTTCAGAGTTACAGTAGGATCTCTTCACATTTTCCTTTTAATTTTGAATTAAATTTATATTTAGCTAATAACATAAAATGTACAAACTTATGGGTACATGACATGTTTTGAACCATAAACATTTATCATTTCTCTATAATGAACATATTAAAATCCTTTATTGTAATTTTTTGAAATGGATGTGCAGTTTTTTCCATTTCTTAGCTATTGTGGATAGTGCTGTAATAAACATGAGAGTACAGATGTGTATTTGACATACTGGCTTCATTTTCTTTGGATATATACCCAGTAGTAGAATAGTTGTATCATATGGTCATTCTGTTTTTAGTTTCTTGAAGAATCTCCATATTGTTTATCATACTGGCTGTACTAATTCATATTCCACCAACAATGGACAGATATTCACATTTTTCTCCACATTCTTCCCAGAGCTTAGCAAACTCAATGGTGTAAGTAATCTTGTTTTCTCTATACAGGTCATCTGTGAGCAAGCCATATGATGAAGTCCATGGAAGTATTAAATCAGACTCAAGTATCAGAATTCATTTTGGTGGGACTGACAAGCTTCAAGGATATAGAGTTTCTTCTCTTTCCACTCTTCTCAATTATCTATTTGTTAACAGTTTTAGGTAACCTTCTCATTATAGTTACTGTTTTTTTCACCCCAAATCTGAACACTCCCATGTACTTCCTCCTTGGGAATCTATCTTTTGTAGATATGACCCTTGCTTCCTTTGCCACGCCTAAAATGATCGTGAACTTGGTAAAAAACAAGAAGACTATTTCTTTTCTTGGTTGCTTCACTCAGATATTTCTTCTTCATTTACTGGGTGGAAATGAAATGGTACTATTGGTTTCCATGGCCTTTGACAGATATGTGGCCATTTGTAAACCCTTACACTACATGACCATCATGAACAAGAAGGTGTGTACTTTGCTTGCAATTATTCCTTGGTTAATAGGTCTCCTTCATGCAGGACTTCAGGTACCATTTGTTGTGAACTTGCCCTTCTGTGGTCCCAATGTGGTGGATAGCATTTTCTGTGATCTCCCTCTGGTTAGCAAACTTGCATGCACAGACACATATTTTGTTCAGATAGTCATTGTTGCTAACAGTGGCATGCTCTCCATGAGTTGTTTCCTCATTTTGCTTGTCTCCTACAGTGTGATCCTCATAACCATCAGGAGGCATGCTTCTACTGGGCAATCCAAAGCCCGTTCCACTCTGACAGCTCACATCACAGTGGTGATGATCTTCTTTGGTCCATGCATCTTCATCTATGTCTGGCCTTTCAACAACCATTCTGTGGATAAGTTTCTTGCTGTATTTTATACCATCATCACCCCTATCTTGAATCCACTTATCTACACTCTACGAAATAAAGAAATGAAGACAGCCATGAGGAAATTCTGGAGAGGTTTTGTACATTCTAAAGAAGATACTTAGGTTAAATGCATAATTACAAAGAAATGGGGTATTGCTCAGATCTCTAAAATTTTCTTTGGAAATAGACTTATCTAAGTCATATAGAGAGAGACAAAACAGCAGGATTGTAGAAGATAGATATATGATAACATTTTGAATGTAAATTTAATCGATAATTTTTTAGTGGTTTTAAAATAATTGTCAACAATCCTTGTCCTTCAGAGCAGTTACATAGATATACATTTTAATTTCATAGTATACATTTTAATGAAGTACTCATAAAACTTTATATGAGAATAAAATAAAGTCAATCTTCAGAAATATACCATAATTTTCTGTATAGTTTGAGTGATTCAGTACTCAGTATGGTCTTAATGTTGGATTTCTTTTTCTCAATGATACTGTCTGAGTCACAAATTATATGTGGTGCCTTCTAAGAAACCAGAAGCCGAATTGACCATTGACCTTCCCCATCAAAGTCACTCATTTTTTTCTGTAGCCACTAACATGAGAGTTTGTATAGTTGTCTTTAAGGCTGTTAATATAATGCCATTTTACTACCATCTTCCTGATCTCAGTATTTCTATTCCATAAAATTATGCTCTGACTCCAAATATCAGATTATAATTTGCAGAAAGATAAACCCTGGATTTTGGAAGCAATATTTTTTGTGTCTATCCCTGTGGCCAAGACATCAGCTTAGTGACCATATTGAGAAAGTTCCTGACATGAATCCAGAGCCATTATAGATCTTCTCTCTGGCTCCTTAGTTGCTTCAAAAGCCTCTGTCCCTCCCATATCATTACCAATGGGCAATGGGAGTGCCTTGTTCTAGGTATCACTATTATCCCCTCCTGAGAATGCACATCTAAGCACTGCTTGTGCTTCTGGCCTACATTCCAAGGCTTCTCAAGAACACCATCTATCAGTCATACCACCATCACCTCAAGTGGTCCAGGAAGCCAAATGCTGGGCCAGAAGCACTTATCTCTGTAATAACATCCTTAATAAGACACAAGGAGTCTGGAAAGATGTTAACAGCCATCTCTTTAAAGACCTAGATCAGCACCACTGCAGAGTTCCATGCTGTCAGTCACTGAAGGTTCCTGTAATCTTCCTCAACACCAATTTAACTTATAGAGGGAAGTAGAGTCAATACCGCTGTGCACTCATGGTAATCACAATAGTTTCAGCCTATCTGACAATGCCATAGCACTCCCACATAGGGAAGTGTCTTTCCCACTGAAACCAGCATGTGATATCTTGGAGAGATAAGGGCTCCAGCAAATACAAGGAGTGTACTTAAGACAACAATGCATGAATAACCTAGAAGATACACTTCTACAAAAATCTTAGTAATTTCCCAGTATCTGAATATAAGGAAATTAATAACAATAATCTACCAGGCACACAGTTTAAATTGCTTTAAGGGAGCTCACAGAACTTCAGTATATCTATAAATAATTTAACAAAAAAATCAGAAAAATAATTGCCAAATAGAAATTTTACAGAGTGGTTGAAATCATTTTTAAGAGATTAATAACATTTAAAAGATTTGAACTATGACATAAAAATCTTAAAATATGGGAAGGGATAGAGTGAAATTATAATGTTTAATGTAAATCAAGGTAAAGTATTTATCAACTTAAAATACATAATTATTCCATCTATAGATAAAATGTAAGATAATGATAATAAAAGCCTTCAATCCCTTTGATGGTAATGTTTCAATTTAGATATATTATACAAACAAAAAATCAGTACTGAAAATCAGACCTACACTACAAACTGGTATAATATAAATATACACAACATTCCATCCACAGAATACATGTTCTTCTCAAGCATACAAGGATAGATATGATAGATCATCATAGATCATGTGTTAGGCCACAAGATAAGTTCTATCGAATTTAAGATAAAAATCATATTGGCTATTTATTCTCACCACCATGGCATGAAAGTAGAAATAAATAAGTACAGAATATTTATGTAACTTAAAAATTGCTTAGAAAATAACTATTGTGAACATAAAAAAACTAATGAGTCAAGGGAGCAACAAAAAGGAAATTTTGAAAATACTTAAAAAATAACAAAATGGATACACAACATATTATAACTAAAGTGATACAGAAAATATAGTTTAAGAAGTAAGCTTACAACAATAAAGAACAACATCTGTTGAAGTAATTCACTCGCAGGTCAGCATGAGAAAGAAAGAAGAAGCAGTACAAGCAAAGCAGCAGCAGAAAAAAAAGTCCTTTATACAAGCAATCTTTTTATAGTATTGTGAACAAAGAAGGCAGCCTTAACAGCAATAAATCAGGTCTTTCAGCTAATTAAACATAGCATACAGAAGTTTTACTTTCTAATCAGAAGTGACCTGCTTCTCATGGCTAATCTACTATCGGCCTGGTGCATGCTGAGCTCTGCTCTTGTTAAGAACAGATAATAAAATTTTTCTCAGTGCCCTCTTAGCCCACTTGGCAGAACATCCTGTTTGCAGGCAAGTCCTCCCAAGGAGAGCAGACATCTTGTTTTCAAGCATGTCTGCTGTTACCTATCTATACCTTGACAGAATATCTCGTTTGCAGGCAGACTCCATCAAGGACAGTAATAGTAACGCAGGCACATCTGATTCTCTACAAACATCAAAAAAAAAAAAAAAAGGAAGAAAGATCTCATATAGTCTACTGTGATTCCTAAAAGGAATAAGAAAACAACAACAAAATAAGCTCAAACACTGTAGAAGGAATAAAAGATCAAAGAGGAAAGTACAGACTAAATAAAGAATGGAAAAGATCAGCAAACTCAGAGTTTTGAAAAGGAAAAACCTGAGTTTTGAGAAACCTTGAGTTACCCTAAGAAAATATGGGAAAAGCCTAATAAATAAAAGCAGAAAGAGGAGACATTACAAATGATAGCACGGAAATATAAAGGATAATAAAAGGCTATAAAGAAGTGTTATCCAACAAAGTGTATTATCTATGAGAAATGGAAAATTCCTAGAAATCACCATGAGGAAATAAAAAATCTGACCAGACAAGTAGTAATTAAGGAGACTGAATCAGTAGTAGAACATGTTCTGCCAGAGAAAACCTGGAGCTGATGGCCACACTGCTGATTTCTTTTTTAAAAAATATTTATTTATTTTTTTAGGTGTAGATGGACAYAACACAATGCCTTTATTTTTATGTGGCGTTGAAGATGGAACCCGGGTCCTGCCCGTGCTAGGGGAGCGCTCTACCGCTGAGCCACAATCCCAGCCCCACACTGCTGAATTCCTTTAATAGAAAAAAAAATCAACATTTCTCAAACTTTTTTTCTAAAAAGAATTATCAAGAAGGAGTGCTTCAAACTCATTTTCAGAGGGCACCATTATCCTTCTAGCCAAGCCAGACTACGACACTAAAAGAAAAGAAACTTACTGGTTATTATTCCTGATGAACATCAGTACAGATATATATCCACGACAATACTCATGAAATGAATTCACCAGCACATTAAATCTACCACTCACTATAATAAAGTAAGTTGTTCCAAGATAAAAAGATAGTTCAACCTATGCAAATCTATAAATGGGATACAACATAGTGACAGAATGGAAGTGAGAATTAATATACAATCATGCCAATACATGCAGAAAAAAACAGTTAACAAAATTCCAAATGCTTTCTTGGACAAAATTTTAACAAATCAGGCCATATATAACAAGTTCATTGATTGGCAAAAAAGCTTAAAACTTTTTACTTATCAAGAACAAGAAAAGGATGTCCAGTCTACAACTACCATTCAAATACAGTACTGGAAGTTTCATTCAGTTGGTAAGAGAAAGAAATAAAAGCTGCCCATGTTTGGAAGAAAGAAGTCAAATTATTTCATTTTCAGATGCCATAAAATCATATATTAAAAAAAAACCCTACAGACTTCACTAGAAAATGTTAGATTTTTTTTTTAAGGTGGGCTCCTTACTGAGGATTAAACTCAGAGGCACTTGACCACTGAGCCACATCCCCAGCACAAGTCCCCTTTTTGTATATTATTTAGAGATAGAGTCTCACTGAGTTGCTTAGCATTTCACTGTTCCTAAGATTGGTTTTGAACTCACAATCCTCTTGCCTCATCGTCTCAAGCTGCTGGGATTACAAGCATGTGCCACCACACCAGCTAGAAAATGTTCACTCTTATACCTGAATTTAAGAGTGCTGCAGAATATAAAATTAATATATAAAACTTAGTAGTGTTTTCACATATACAAATGTAAAGAAAATCATGAAACAATTATAATGACTACAATATGTAAAATTTGTAGATGTAAGTTTAACTGGAAAGCTGAAAGATTTTTGTTGACAATAAGTGGATACAAATAAATAGAAATATACCCAGAATTCATGGATTGCAAAAACATCCATATTCTTCAAAGATACTTTATCAATTCAACACAATTCTTGATTGAAATCCAATGACTTTTTTATTTTACAAAATTAGAGGAAAAAAAAACATTAAAATTTCTGTGTAACCAAAGAGACCCTGAAGAACCAAAGCAATCTTGAGCAAACTGACCAAAGCTGGCAACATCCCACTTCTTGACTTCAAAATTTACTACAAATGAGTAAGAATCAAAAAAGTATGGTAGTGGCATAAAAAGAGACACATAACTCAATGGGATGAAATAGTGATCAAAAAAGAATTTTAGTTACTTTTGTTAAATTTATTCTCAAGGAAGATACTTATAACACACAATACCGAAAGGACAGTTTCTTCCATAAAAGCCAAAATTATTACTGAAAGAATTGAAATACACGTTAAAGCAGAAGAAATGACAGATAAGGAGTTAAAGAAGTACATGATTAAAATGTTCTGTGAACTCAAGGAAGATATAATAAAGCAAATACAGGCAGCAAAAGAACATTTTGACAAGGAGCTGCATAAAAAAATATAGGAAGCAAAAGATCACCTTAACAGGGAGATAAAAAGTTCCTTGAAATGAAAGGCTCAATAAACCAAATTGAAAGCTCCAA